AAGGGTTAAAATCTCTGAATATCTTTGGAAATTTATGCAAGTAAATGGAGAATGTCAATGTAGACTTGAGGACAGAGAGCTTAGAAAAGTGGGGAAGGATTTGGGTGGGAAAGAGAGCTGGAATATGGAAATGTGTTTGGGAGGCAGAGACCTTGGAAGTGGGGACATGAGTTTTTTGGGGGTTGGGGGTCAGTGTCAGGAATGGGTGAGAAACAACATTCATATATGGTGATGCATAAGGAATCTACTAAACTGCGCTTAGTATTGTTCCAATTAGCATAAAGTTTTACAGTTCCAAGTTGAGAAGTTGTTTTTTTGGTGCCGTGTTGATGACACTTGTTACTATAAGTTTACTGAATGGACCAAATACAATGAAATAAGTTTTATGTGATCAATCAATTACTTAAACAAATCATGGAAGGAAAGATTCTGTATTTTACAAATTGAATCCTCATTCTGTATAATTAGAAAAACAAAAAAAAAAAAAAACTTCACTTTTCATTTTTCAATTGAAAAAGCAATAAATGTGGTTCAAGTGTCATTACTAACAACTTTCTAGTTGATTGTATGTGTTTTACACATTGTCAGGAAATAAAAATTAGTTCTGCTTCATTTAACATTAAACATTTTTGATAAATATTTGGTTAAACTAAAGTGTGTATTTTTGTAAGAAAGTGTTTTCTTTATTTCATGTTTTTTGAATGAATATGACCTTTTAAAGTTTCTAGGATCAATTAACAATCTAAGTTTAATGCTAAGCTGGACCCTTACTTTGGGTCTGTTTTTAGGAAAATACTGGGTCCTTTTCGTGAGTTCATAATATAATTTTAAAGTATGAGAGACTAAAGTTGCATTTTTTTTCTCTGCAACAAACAACTCAATTTGCAGTGTGATGAAAGCCCTAAACTTGATAAAATTTTCTTTTTAGGATTCCATATTTAAAATATTTTCTTTTTCCTTTCCTTGGGATGATTTCTTATACTGTTGTCTCACTACCTTGCCCCCCCCCCTCCCAAAAGCTGGCTCCCATTTTTGAGTCTTTGACCTCTTCCAAAGTTTCATATTTGTTTTTAACTGCAATCATATGCGATTCAATCGTGGAGATTGCCACATTGCAGTTTAAACATTGCTTTAGGCTTTTTGCAGTTTTACCGTTATTTGCATATGAACCAGAGGTGATCACTTATGTAGTCAACGCTTGGCCATATTTCAGTGTATAGTAATACATTTCTAAAGAGGCTACCTATCTGCTAACAAACTTCTTTTTTATGTCTCCCCAAAGGCTTTTCCATGTTCACAAGCACCTTGGGTAATCTTCAAATCAGTTGTCAGTTATTAATTGGTCATTTGCTTCTCCCCATTTGTTAGATAATCTGAGTCCATACTTACCAACCATTCCATTATCTTGTTCCTGAGGACCCTACGATAATTTACATTTGGCTTTCTCTAGCGTGTTGTAAAAACTATCTAACACCTAATCTAATTACCTGATGCTTTGCTGACAGTAAGACAATCAAATTTCAAATGTAAACGGTTTGCTTACTTAAAATGCTAGATTTGTTAAAAATATATTCAGTTTAATTACAGGAGTCATAAAAATAATGTCAAAAGGGCTGGACATTTTGGTTTACACAATTTTCCTGTTACCCAGGGGTTGTTAACAAACAGAAAGGAAAATTAGCTCTTAAAACAAAGAAGTCCATTTTAATTTAATTCAAACTGTATGTGTATGCAAGTTTGAATTTACATGCACATGACTAACCTAAAAATATTTCATAAAAAAAATTCTCTTTGGTAAGATTCATAAAATCTAAAGCAGCAATAATAATGGAAACAGTAAAAGTAACTACAAAGATGGAACATCTGAGAATTTTTCCATAATGTCTGAGGAGTCAAACATAAAATGCACAAAAACCTGAAAGAAACCCATAACATTTAATCTGAGGTTAGATCAGCACTGGCTATGATATAAGGATACTGACAGGTGTAGACTTTGGGACAGATAAGGTTAATGAAGTGATAAAGTGTACCAGAATTTATTAACAACAACCTTAGCAGCATTCACTATGCAGATGGCAGTGTGTTGATAGCAGATTTAGAAGAAGAACTGAAAGAATTGAGACAAGGTAGTTGATGAAAGCAAAAAGAAAAAAACAAATCACATACTGTATGTAAGAAGACAGAATGAATGGTTGTCAGCAAAAGGGACAATCCAAGTTAAATGCTACTTATTGGGGATGTCAAAATCAAGAAGTTGTAGACATTTATTTGGATAGTTTAGTAACAGATGATGGAAAATGTCATATTAGAAATTCTAAGAATAGCATAGGAATAGCAAAAGGTGCCTTTTGGAAAATGTGCAAAGTATTAAGAAATTGGAAAATATCTTTAGAAATAAAGAAAAGAATGCTGGACCTATGTAATAACTCATTCATGGCAATGAATGCTGGAAAATTTCCTCACATATGAAGAAGACACTTTAAGCAACAAAGATGTGCTTCTTCCAATGATTATTGATAGTACTACAGATGGAATAGATGAGAAACAAAGCTTTTTAAATAGAGTAGAAACTATAAAGATATTGGCAACAATGAGAAAGTGACAGATGAAAAGTGTGATAGTGAGGAAAGAAAGCTTGGAGAATTTGACACTCACATGGAAGGTAAGAGAACAATGCAAAAAAAAACAGTGAACTAGTGAATTAATAGCAGAACAAGAACCACAAAGACAAAGAGGGGATGATAAAACAGAGTCATTTAGAACAACAAAAGGCAGAAAGTTATGGAGAGCCATATCTGCCAGTGTTTTGAAAGAATACTCTAAAATAGCCACAAAATCAGAGTTCAGTTTAGCAATATATTATCTTCACAATATATTTACATTGCAAATTAAGCATTTACTGTCAATGTTGAACACAAAGACAGAAACCATTTTGATATTATACATATCTTGTAAATTAAAATCTATTTTAGAGTCACTTCTTTGAGAAAATGATTTTAAAGTCATTTTCATAAAGAACAGGAAAAAATTTATTAAGAGAGAATTTTTCAGGGACCAAAAAGACATTTTAGCTTAATGAAATCTTTGGCCATTTTTGCATATTACACTGATATTCATTAGATATATAAATGCTCAGTGACTACCCCATATTGAGTGAGTAAGAGAGAAAAAAAAATCACAATAAAAAAAAAAACCCTGCTTCAGAGAAATAAAAAAAATTTGGTGTTAATGTAAATTATGTTTCATTTTTTTTTTTTTAAATGGGCTTATTAAGGCCAGCAGAGAAGTGGTCACAATTTTCTATAATGGTAATTGTTTTCTTTTTACTGATAAACATTCTAGAGAAATGGGCACAATACCTTGATGAGCACAAAAGTCATTAGGGAGGGGGGAAGAGAAAACACACACACAAAAAGAAAAAAAGAAAGATAAAAACAAAAATACTTTCTATAATCTTGAGAAGTCATCATTTTCAGAATTGATTAAAATCATTATGTTGTTTTTGCTGTTAGCACAATATTTCATCTGACCCATTCTCCAGCCTTCTTTAGGTCTACAATCCATAAAGGAAAAAAAGGATTTCTTTCTTTCAGATATTGGCTGTGAACAGACAAGAAATAGTGGCTAATATACCATTCATCATAATAAATATCTATCCAATATTATTTCCATAATGAAGAGCAGGACAATGAAGGGAATTAACAATTATGCAGTCTTTCTTTCCTTGTAAATTAAACACTTGAAGAAGGCTGGAGAATGGATCAGCCGAAATGTAACAAAAAGGTACACAATTCAATATGCCAAGCAACAATGGCAGTGAAAGAAACATTTGGCAAAGTCACACAGGCAAATTTTTCTTTTCACTTCTTGAGACAGATGTCTTTCACCTCCAGCACCCACAAATTCTCTTACACGTGCACACTTCTAGACAGACTTTCTTCCTTCTAACAACATTCCCTTTCAACCCAATCCCATTTAAAAACAACAACCCCCCCACCAAAAAAACTCAGGTGTTTAAAGCAGCTGTAATGTCTCTTACTTAAAAAACAAAAATGGAGAGAAAGAGCAAAACTGAAGGTTGCAATAGTTGCACACAAATCCTCGTCATCTGATTTCCCTGTAACTTCAGTTAATTTGTAACAAGAGTAATCATCATAATTAGAACATCAATTAAAGTCGTGAATTCTTTAACGAAAAAAGAATAATCTGTATGTCGTTGGGGATATGACTCATATGTTTCAAACACAAACTGAAGGAATTTTCAGCAAGGTTAAAGTCGGTAAGAATTAAACTACAGTAGAGAAACTTGTAGTTGAAGAGGAAATGAATTTCAGGAGGAGGAGGAGGACATTTGCTTTTAGATTAATAGAAGAAAGTTTTCAGCTTTCAAGAATTTGAGAAAATTATATTTTTTGTTATTATTTTTCTCAACCACCTGCAAGAAGAAAAACCTCAACTATAAAATATAATCTCAAACAAAAATCTTAAGATGTTCAAAAAATTTATTTTAGAAAATATAGTTCTTATTTTTAACCTTTAGCACTCTGCATTATTGACTACTTTCCTTTCTATTGCATTGTTTTTCAAGGCTCCTCTACTGCACTACTTAATTTCAGTAATGGTCATTTTCTGTTGCCATAGCAGGATATGACAACACAACTGTGAAATTCAAACATGTTATTATTCATTTATCTGAGTCACTTGCAGTGGCAGGATAAAATTTTTGCTTTGCAAACAAATTCACCTCCAGAATGTTAAAGGTTAAATGACATTTTAGACTCATTGACACATACATAAGTTGTGTAAAAGCAAAAATTACGATTTCTTATCTTGAACCTCTCAGAATAAAAGTAAAGAAAGAAAAGTTTAAGAATTTCAATAAACATGATAAAGTTCATTGTGCAGATAATAAAACTGTCCTTTTTTTCTTTTCATGCCTTTTTGAACAGGAAAAAATAGTTTTTATTGACATTCACAAAATAATAGATATTTGTACTTACTCTTTTCCATAGTAGTGTGGTTTATTAGGAATCTGAAAAGACAAAAAAAGTTTTCCCATCATTTTAGAAAAAAACAGAAATTCCATGGTGGATTTTTTTATTTATTTATTTTTTTTTTTTTAAACAGAACTGCACAAGATAATTTATACTAATATACTCTTCAGAATTATAAAAGCACTGAGTTTTAGATTTTTTTTTTAGTGAAATTTGTTTAAAAACAGGTTCACATTTTTATAAAATGTTTCTATTTTTAAATATTTTCTGTGTAATTTTATATTTTAACTTTTATTGTTTTACGAGATTTTTTTAGAAAAACATGAAAAAAGAAAATTGATGTTCAGTAATTATAAAAACAGGAGGCATGGTAGAGTAATGGATAGCAGCTCAGATTGAGGAATTGGAGAGCAGAGTTCGAATTCAAGTCAAATTACATTCACTTACATGCTAATACTATTGGGAAAGGTATGAATACTCTTCTTCTCCCCCCCCAGCTATGGGTAAATAGCAAAACAGACCGGGTTCTATAGCCTTGGATGGCAACTAGTCTACCGTAGAAAGAAATGGCAACCTACTGCAGGAAAAAATCTGCCATGTCAGTCATGCATTGAAAGATACATGATTACCTAAGCATGTATCACGCATAGCACATAACTGACTGAATTATAAAAACATTAGAAAAAGTCATCTGTCTATATTTCTGAGATGAGATATTATGTACACTATTTTCAGGGACACATGGCACAGTGGATAAAGGTGTTAGTTAAATCCAGTGACAGGATCCAAAGAGTGTGAGTTCAATACCTGGTTAATGTGGTGGAGAACTTGGAGAGGGGAATTAACAAGAGATAACTGATAACTGACATCCATTAGACGTGGAACTAGAACAGTCTACCCCAGCGAGTGAAATAAAGGGTTCAGTCCAACATTTCAACCACCTGAAGAAGGCTGGAGCGTACAATGGCTGAAACGTAGATAAATATGGCAACAAAGATGAGGATGATAGTCCGAGCAATGTAAATAATGTAGAAAAAGTCAGTTTTTATTAAAACATTATTTATCAAAAATTTAATGCTTTTTAACAGCTGCAGGTTTTGCTTTCAAAATGCAAATGGCATGACCTGTCATTGACTTTGTCAATCTAGAGATTGCAGATTGAATGATTTTGTACAATGTGTTTTCAGTATCTCTCTCTTGGCTGTGCTTATGTGTAGACACATCAACGTAAACATAACCTTAGTCTGATGAATTCCTAAAGGACAAAATGTGTCACATGAGAACTTTTTCCACTTTGTCATACTTCTTTCCCCTACAATGCATTCTTGATAGCCTGTTTCTGCTCCTCAAAAGTGGCATACTGAGGGGAGGGGGGATTACATTACCTTATACATCTCTTTCCATTGTTCCCTAAACATTTTCTATGGGTACAAGCTCAGAAGACAAGGCAGACCAATTCATTACGGACGGAAAGTGATTACCGAGGTTAGAAACAGCTGTCCTTTCAGTATAGTGAGTTGAATTCTCAGTAGAGACTTGACTATAGAGACATTCTGCTAAATTAAATTTTGATAACATTTCTTTTAAAAAAAACTACTTTTAGATTTACATTACCCTTAGTTTCAGGAATTTTTTAAAAGTGTAACATTTCTTGCAGAAAAATATAAAGATTAACTAAGATCAACTTTTCTTTTTATCAGACATAAAAATTTTGTTTTATTACAACAGACCAAAAAATACTGAAAAGAGAAAATATTTTGGTAAGTGAAAAAAAAAAAAAATAATGAAGAAAGAAGTGATGACAAATATGTTCAGTTTAATTTTTAGAAGCAGATGAAATTCAGTGTTAAGAAAGAGGAATATTTGGTTTCATAAGTACTAAGATTAGCACAAGTTGAATTTCATAACACATAGATCCTTCTACTTTGTTAGAAATATGGCAGCCATCTAGTTGACTTTTATTTTCACCTATGTTCACTTTTTAAAGCCAATTAATTTTAAACCCAAGAATTATATACATTCAAAGACAAATATTTCGCAAAGCTTACTTGTTCAACGTCCAACTGAGTAATTGGGCTTACTCTGGACAAAAGGAGATTGACCTTAGACAATGGATTAATAATTACCTATTTGTAGCATTGTTTTGCTTGGATACATGGTAATCCTTGACCAGATCTATAAGGAAAGATGAATTCATGCCTATTCTAAAGGCAGTAGTACAGGTTTAATGCCAGAATATAAACAAATGCATAGATGATTATTTTTTTTCATTTTTACTTTGTTACTAACAAAATGAATAAACTCTATATAAACGACCATATTAAAAGATCATACAAACATTCACTATTTTCAACAACCATTTTACAAGTAAGTAACATCAACACTTGGTAGTTGCATCCAACCAGTGCAAGATTTACATATGCGCTAGTATGGGCTGCATTCCAGGGGCCTTCAGATGCCCCACACCTCTAGTCTTGAGCTCCTGATAAAACTAAAATTAGAAATAATGATATAAGAACAGATTTCTTTATTTTCAGATTTAATGGAGCTCCTTTGAACTAATTTAAAACAATTTATAGTATTTGGGCCTCTCTATTTGGAAGGATGGATGGATGAATGTTGGATTTAACGGCATGTTAACTCCTATTTTATTTGGAAGGTTTTTTTTTTCAAATCCAATAGGGCTCAGTGAAGGGGCCCCATTTAGATTTTTGATGCATCTATTTTATAGACATAGATTTTTTGATGTGGCTTCATCTAAAAAGATATATATATATATATATATATATATATATATATATATATATATATATATATATATATATATATTATTTTATAGACATGGTTTGGGGAAACATATATAATGAAGTGGCATCCAAATTATATTAGCCCAGGGGCCACTTAAGGCCTAAATCTGACCTTACAGCCAACCATTGATTTTACAAATAAGTAACATCAACACTTGTATCCAACTATTGTTCAAATCAGATTTTCTTGTATATTTGTCTTTTCTTCTTTGAAAATCTGTCTTTGCTATCTTCTGTAAATTTTAAGTTTGTAAATAAATTTATTTATCATAATATTTCACTACATAGATGAAGTGTTTTCTAAATCTCATATGTGCAGCAAGAATTTTCTGCTTCAATTAATTTAGAAATTAGTACTTTTATATGCTGTACCCAATTTTTTGGACAAATTGAATTTTTTTCCTACATTTTTTTTTAATCCTTGGTAAATCATTGATAGAAACTTTTCATAGTACTTGTTAATTATCTTTAGAGAGAAAGTCTTCTTGTGCAACTTTACTTTTATGAATAGGGGTTACCAAAGCTATGACTTGTGAATGCCTATTTCCAGAAAAAATCCATTACCTGCTATCACCTACTTCTAGAAAATAAATTTTATTTAACTTTTTGTACTTCTGATCTTTTTGCACAAACAATTTCTTAGTACAGTAATGCCTTGAGATATGAGTGTACTGATATATGAGTTTTTGAGATATGAGCAGGAGCTCAGGCAAATTTTTGCCTTGGGATACAATCTGAATTTTGAGATATGAGCGAGTTTCAGTTAAACATCTGCCAGTTGGCTTAGTGTGCACCAACCTTCGAAAATATTTCCACTCACAGTACATGTGTTCACCTCTGCTCTGGAAGGATCTCTGTTGTATTGTGTCTTTTTTGTCATTATTTTGCATGGATAGCGGCTCGGATTGAGGAATCAGAGAGGTGAGTTTGAATTCCAGTTGAATCCATTACATTCACTTACATGCTAATACCCTTGGGAAAGGTATGAATCCTCTTCTTCTCCCCCAGCTATGAGTAAATAGCAGGACGGACCGGGTTCTATAGCCTTGGATGGCAACTGGTCTACTGCAGAAAGAAATGGCAACCTTGTGCAGGAAAAAAAAAACTGCCTTGTCAGTCATGTATCGAAAGATACATGATCGCCTAAGCATGGCGCATAACTAATAAAGAGCAGTGGCGAAAAGCCAAAATGTATGATTTCATTTGCGGTAAAGTGCAAAATTAAAAAAAACCATGAGGAAGACATACGAGTAATGGATTTGGTGACACAGTAGGAGCATCTGTATTGACATTAAATAAAAAAATTATAAAATTTAAAATATTTGTAAAAAATTAGTTACAGTAATGGATAAAATGTAAATGTTTTAAAAAAATTTTAAAATTGAGTGATAAAGTTAATCTTTGGTATTGGAGACTAGGCTAGCCGTTGTTAGGCGAGGTTAGCGGTTGTTAGGTGAGCTGTTGTTGACCCTCTTTCTCAATTGCCAATTGGTCTATGACCCGTCTGAACTTCACGGTTTAATACAGTTTATTTCTTTACAATTTGTTTTTTTTTTTCTTTTATTTCATTGTTTGTAGAGTACATTTCTTGTTTATTCAAACATTTTGTTTTGTAAGAAATCCACTAATACAAAAGTTGATTTTCAAGGGCCTGGAATGGATTGGAAATATTCCCATTTTCAATGGGAAAAACTGATTTGAAATACGATCAGTCTTGGAACAAATTAAACTCGTATCTCAAGCCATTAATGATTATTGTATATTCATTCTCTTTAGATCCGACATGTTTTTTAAACAAAGACTTTTTCTGATCTTACAAAAATGTATCAACAATAGTATTAAATAGCAAACTAGAATTATTTAGGGAAATTAACAACAGGTATTTTGTTCAGACATAAAAAGATGCTGAAAAGTTCTCAGCCTGATCCCCCCCCCACTTCCCTGAATCTACCTTCTTTTTTTTAAAGGTTTTCTGGGTAAAAATCTGAGTAATTTGCAGCCCCCACCTCGGATAGCTCATTAGGATCTACTTCCGTAGATACTTACCCCCACCCATCCCCTGAACCTCACAGTAAGACTAAAAAATAATCCTGTTAGAAGTGAAGTCTACTGTCCCCAATCATTGAAAATCAGGCAACTGACATTGCAAACAGCCGTTTATAAATCATAAAGAAAAAAAAAAAAGTGTATATTTTCAAACTTTTATAAGAATGAGAATTGCAAGCAGGTGA